CAACACAAGTATTGACTGTAGTTTGAGGCGTGTTTTCATGAGTCTGGGCTCACAAAGAGTTTACAATAACTTGGAATGCGTTCTTGTAATAAGCATTAGGTAACACTAAAATGGGACATTTTCAATGCCTCACTGTTTCTTAATGAGCATGGGCACCCCCCTTTTTTATTTTATAATTAAACTTCTCATATGATAATATTCATTGGACAAAGTTTGAACAAAAATTTATGTGCAGTTTTATTTCAGGGAAATTACCTTAACTGCAAGCGACATACCTCTGACTACCATCACCAATCCCCTTAATGCTTTTCAAGTAAGTATTCTTAGTTTCAAAATGTGGGCTACGACCAACCATTAAATCCTTATGAAGCATGTGACCCTGAAAAATAAACATAATTTAATCACAGCTTGATGTACACCGCAGTCATGAAATGTGAAACACCTGCCCCTTGAGAGGAAATTATCTGCTTACCAAATGTTCGAGCCTTTCAACCAGTTTAGATAACAACCCTTCCACTTTATCATCATCTTGATGCGTAATTAATATGTCCACATCATGTCCTGAAGGTTTGCCTCTTTTTCAAGGAGAAACAAAAACTTAGATGCAAACATTCATGAGCTAACCACACGAGGGTATTTAAGTCAGATAATTTTATTACGAATTATTAGGCTCTGTCGATTTTAAAATGTCATAATCAAAGAAAGCACAATCTGATATGTAGAGATGTAGCAAAGCAAACTGAGGAAGCTAATATTTCAATTCAATTAATAACTAACTAACTAACAACAGAAGGTTGTTTGTTATGAAGTTTTGGGCCAAGTTATTGGTGTCAAGGCTTTTTCAGCCAGAAAACATAACTGGCAATCAGGACATGACTACACATTTGGCCACAATAATTTGCCAACATTGTGTGTTTAACAGATATATACATACGTGTGTACAGCTGTACTAGTAAGACTGGGAAAGGAGAAAGATACAGGTCACTGACAGGTTATAATTAAAATCATAATCACTTGTAAATGTTCACCTGCGATATCCTCCAACCAACTCCACTGTACAGTCTGGTTGAATTCTGTTTAACTGTCAAATACATTGCAATAACAATTACTGCTCATAACAGATAATAATTTGTGATCCAAATTGACTAAACAAAATAAAGCAAACTTCCAGTAAAGTTTGACTTTTGTAAGCAGATCCGAGGAGTAAATTCTAGATAGGTGTAATTTTGTGTACTTGAAATATCAATCTGTGAGCAAGAACACTAAGAGCCCGTTCTTTTGTGGTGATCTGGATCAGGATCAGTGATCCAAGATCACTTGGATCATGGTGTATCAAGGGAACCGATGAATCCACTCTGGTCACAGATTCATCAGTTCCTTTGATGCACTATGATCCAAGTATGATCCGAGTGATCTTGGATCACTGATCCTGATCAAGATCACCACAAAGGAATGCACCCTAAGAAGTTCAAGTTGAAACCATTACAATTTCCTTCATTCAACTAACCTCTTCAACGACTATATCCTTGATCTTGATGGCTTCTTCTCTTGGGACAGGTTGCCCTAGATCATCGTAATACTTCAAACCTGTAATGCACAAAATGTTTTGCATTAACGTACTGAACGGAAGCTAACACTGCACTGAAGAACATCAAGAACAAAAATTTCACTGCATGAGCTGGTACAGTGTAGTCTGAATAAAATTATGAAGAGTACTGAACATGTACATCAATCAAGGCTTAAACTGCTCAATCTTGTTCCAGATGCTCTATTCTCTTCCTCCTTGTTTCTGAGCAGTGGATCATGCAAGGTTCTGGGAATAAGGATGACATACCATCATCATGATCATCTTAAGCATGTACGCCATGTTAAGAAAGTCTATCGTCAGATCTAAAGGGCCCTATCAACTGGCACCCTAGCAGATAAGGCCTAGCTAGCTCACCACAAGTCTCTCTGTACATGTAGCTCTGTAGTTAGAGCACTGAATTGGTATTTGGTAGGTCATTGTTTCAAATCCCATTGGAGAGTATGATATTTTCCCTGTCCCATGCTCATGCTATGTAGAACATGCCGTCTTTCACATTTTAAACTTTAATGCTCACGATTCCCATAAAAAAAGCTGTGAACCCGAGAAAGAGGACTTCAAATCCTCAGATATTGGGAAACTTTCACGTACCCATTGACTGTTGCTCATTGAGTTTCATTCCATCGGAGACTGCTTGCATGATATCAGTCATGTTTCGGTAGCCTTTCTCATACCACTTCCGAGCCGTTGCAGGTCCACATCCATAAATAGATGAAAATATCTGTATAAATGAATGATACAGCTGAAATATGATTTAATTGAATTTAGTCGACTGAGTGACTGAGTGACTGACTGATGGACAGAAGGATGGATGGACTGTGTGATTCACTGGAAAGTGAATATGTGACTGACTCAAAACTCGACAGACCCCAACTCAAAACTGAATGGTGGGCCAAGTGACCAACCAACCCACTGACTGACCAACTGACTGATTCAAAACTGACTTGTTGACCGAACAACTGAATAAGATTGATGACTGAATTTAACTATCAATTGCCCAATTATTGCAGAGAAAAACAAACCTCCATTGATTTGAAAAAGTCACTGGATAGGATGCCTTGAACTTCATCTGATGAGCCATTTTCCAGAATATCCTGTTTTTACATAAAAACCGTTAAGATAATGGTGTGATGGTGTGTGGAAGATTTCAGTTAGAAGAACAAACATTAAATCCAGACCAGTCTTGAGAGTAATACTACGTTGGAGTTATATCAGCTGATGATTCAACAAGAACTTACAGAAGATCATTGGAACAACTTAGTATACTCAACTTTGTTCACCAGTAGTTGTGCACTTAGGAATGTCATTTACTATATATTTAATTGTGAATACTACAGAATGCCTTACAGGGTACAAACCTACTGGATGGTGTGATCAGACAATAAGATCAATACAAAATCTGTGCTTCATGAGATTAATTAAGAGACCTTGCCTTTGTATTCACAAGTGTAAGATGACCAATTAACATTAGCTAATGATTTTTCAGAGTTTTTTTTTTTTTTTAAATGTGGCCTCAGTTACTGTTCATGATCAACCAACTTGCCTGAATGACTTTCTTGCTATGGCTCCCCACACTGCTCAGCTTGGCTGCTTCTTCTATTCTTGTGATCTGCCTGAAAAAAACACAGATTAATTGTTTTAATTAACCAAGCTGTGTCAATATGCCACTCAAGGCGATTGCCAGCACAAATTTATTTATGTTATGATTTCAACATTGCTTTAATTTGGTTTTAAAATTTTGAAACCTGATTTTCATTTCCTTTGCGTAAATATGGCAATAAAAGTAAAACATAATGACCCAAAAAAATAATACCATCACAACACCATATTTGAGTGGTTTGATGCCTTAGCCAATCAGCTGAATATACATACACGTAGGATATAATTTCACTCAATTAGCAGAAAAACTATTGTGTAAAGAGGTAAGAGGAAACAATACACATGCATTACTGAAGCTGGTATTAGTGAGCCAAACTAAAAGAAACCTAGCCTGCAAACACAGATGGATTTCTAGAAGCTGAAATGTGGAGTGTACATGTATGTGTTCTAACTAAAGTGCACTTGAACAAGGACAGCTAATGTTTTTTTCATTTTTTTTATGCTTCACAGTGACTAGATTGAATGTTTACATCCATATGTTCACTTTCATATTTATAAGCAAAATAAAGATGTTGTGTTGTATCCCATTTCCACCCATGCTTTAGAGAAGGTGACTTGATACCAATATCTTTCATGTACATCATGCTTGCAAAGTCTACTCCCACATAGCCCTTCACATGCATCGCTTGCCCATAACAATAGACAGTAACTGGTAGTAATTTCTAAGAATCAAGTCTTTACTGTTCAACTTAAAATAACATACTTTGGGTAAGACTTAAGGGCGCAAGCTGCTCGTCTGAAAGCAAGAGCTCTGGAGTCCCTCTGACCGCTGTCTACATACACTGCATGACGTTCAAGAATCTCAAGAGCGTCCTGAAGAATAATATTAAAATAAAAATAATAAAGAACATTGGAGAAAACAACACTGTGATTGGAACCTTAACCTGTTCCATTACACACACAAAATGCTGGGGTGCAGCTGAATGTGTATTGTTTGCAAGTTTCACTTTGTTCAAATACTATACCAGAAGCTTAGGGTTTTAATGGGCAGTTACGGGCAGCACGGGAGTCAATGGGTTAAATTCAGTGCAGTGATTACTCCTGCAGGGATCTACTGATACTCACAGTGAATTTAATATTGTGGTGCTTTAAAGGAGTTGCTCTTTGGCAAACAAACTTGGTGTCCTGTCAAAAGAAACAGAAAAGGTTTAATTTAATTAAATATCAGCCAAATGACAACAAACCCTTTATAACTTAACTAATCTAACTTATCAACAGAACAGACACTCTTTTTTTGCCGTTTACCTGATATCCACAGGATACAGCTTCCTCAGTGTCATTTTTGGCAGCACTGAAAGCATTTTAAAAACACGTAAGACTTCTTGTGGTGGCAGGGCTAAAATGGGGTTAAAAGGTGAGAGGTAGGGGGTAAGGGGTGTTTCCATTACTGTGTTTATTGAAGGCTAACCACAACCAGGTTAACCTGAACATTATTCAGGCCAGCCATCTAAGGCTGTTCCCCCACCCCTCACCCCTCACCCCTCACCCCTCACCCCTCACCTCTCACCCCCTAAAAGTCATACTTCATTACTCAGACTTAAAAATTACAAAGAAAATAACAATGTGTCCAGACTGGCCACTTAATAATAATACTGGTATTGCCTGTTACATCAACCAACATTCTTGACTATTGACTTCTACCTGGATAACAGTGATGCTGATGTCCCAGCAGCTCTAACTCTTACTCTATCTGTAACATCCAATAATTTACCAGCTGTTATGCAGTCAGTCAGCCCTGATGAACAAAATAGATCTTGAAACAATACTTCTCCCCACATATTTCTTTTAAATCAGTACTGAGAATAATGGTGTAACATCAAGACAATATCACTTGGTTGATGATTTTCTTTCTTCTTGTTGTAATCAATGCATTGAGACTGAGAGTAGAAATCTATTGAGAATAACAATAATTATAAAATAATTATCATAAACTTGTATAATAATAATAATAATAATAATATTATTACAAGTATAATCATAATTATTTTACAAAAAGGCCAAAATGTTATTAACATGATGTACTTACAATCAACAGTCACAATTTCCACATTCTCTGTAAGTGGCCTCAAGAAAATAAAAAATNATACATTAATACACACACTCTAGTCATGTCACTTTGTGCACCTACATGAATGCATATAAATATTAAAATAAGCTTAATATTAAGATTGCCTTTCTTGCAGATTTCTGGGAAAAAAACATCAGCTTCCACCAAAAGTGCTTGCACATGAGTTAAGCTCGAGTTGGATCATGTGTACTAAAGGCATCTGCGGTCAAGTGTCGATTGATACCCACGATCAACACTCCATCAACACCTCTGTTGACACTTAATCGACACTCCATCGACATCTTGGTCGGCAGTCGGTTGAGAGTCGACTAATTTTTGATCGATGCATATGAGCTGGTCGACACTCGGCTGACTATCGTCCGACTGTTGATCAAGTGTCGATCGAGTGTCGACCGAATGTCGATCGCGCATCGATCGGTATGTTGATCGAGCATCAATCAGGATGTCGATCGAGTATCGATCAAGATGTCGATCGAGGGTATCAAACGACACTCGCCCGCGGATGCCTTTCGTACCAATGATCATGCTGATGAATTACGTGCTTTATACTATCAATCGCCGGAAATTGTTAGTGGAAATATTAGAGCTACATAAAAACATAGGCTTGTTGATCACTTAACTCAATTAGCCTTGTAAAACTGAAGCAATCAGCGTTGTTACAATGTAAAAGGTGAGTAAATGAATGGTATTTGCGACTGAAAACTATGATACGTGAGTGCACCAACCTGTAATGTTCTGCTACGGGAAATTCCTTCTTTCGGGCGAGATTGCTTAACACTTGAAGCCTAGCTTTTGGGATCTTTTTTGGGACGATATAAATAAGTGTTTCGCTTTCACGTACTTCTGCATTTCTCTCCTTTTCATGCTGAAGTTTTTTGTGTTTGTTGTCATGATCTAACTTGCGGCGCTTAGACGCCATCTTGTTTCCCCGCCAAATGTATTTCGTTACCAGTGCCCGCTCTGCCTTCAAACACAATAACAGCGTTATCGATGGTGAAAACAGTTGTTGAAAACATAGTACGTAGATCGAAAAGTGTAAAGTACATCAAAGGTAATAAAAAAATTAAATTTAAAATTTACAAATATTTCTGTTGAATAACCGATACTCGAGATTTCTATCGCGTGACCAAAAAAACACGTGTTCGAGTCGTCAGAAAAAATGAGTAGAAAAAAACAAACAAGAGTAGAAAACTAGTGAACGCTGACCACGAGCCATTGGCCCCTGCGCTGACAAGACACAAAAAAGTCTTGACAAAAGATCTTGAAACTTTCACTTTTGAGGCTAAATTTTTGTGACTCCATTTTTTACGCCCAACAGCTAAACTTTTAGCCCATCTATGGTTAACGGTTAACCCCATTGAGATCCTCAATTAAAAGGCAATCAGGGCTCTCCGAAATGATACTTCGCCTCTTATTTTATGTAAATGAGTTCAATGAAATAATGTACTGACTTGATAGTTTACAAAAGGTTATTGAATGCCTTGCTATGCGCGGGAAATCCACTCATTTGATAATTAGATTCAAAATCAACGACACAGTTTTCTTTGTCCACGCGAACCTAGAGCAAGATCTTTGCTTTCATGAACAAGTTTCTTGAAAGTTATCCACTCTGCCATGAGACTGAAACACGGCTCGCCTGAGAAATTAGCTACTTTCCTTCACACGGCTTGATTCACGTAATGCCGGGCTCTGTGGTCATCACGAATGAAAGTTGAAATGTTAAACCTTAGTTTCCCTTTGAGAGTTATTAACCTAAACATCAATTTTTTTTCTCTAGATCAGTCCTTTGATCGCTGGGTACTGTACAGTATATTGTATGCATATCCGTGCCGCAACAGACTGGCAGAACATAGCCTACTTTGATAGCCAATATGGATCCACACTATGGAAAGCTGGAGTGATTCCTGGCAGGAGAAATGTCTCGGGTAGATGACTGTAGCAAAACAGAAAGTTTGGGAAAAACCTTCAAGTGTGATGGCAAGGGGGAAAGTCTTTCCTGAGGAGAACCCGGCTGAGGGCAATTCTGGTAACGTTAAGGTGAGTGAATAAAGACATAATAACGACTAAGCATCGACTAGTTTCTCAGAAAAATCTGAGATCAGCGCCAAAACGCTAATTTAAAGTCCATTTTAAATCGGAATGATGGCAGACAATCACGCATTCCTAAGCTGGGTGGAGAGTTTCGCGCGCTCTACTTGGTTCTTGTTTTACTTTCACGTCCAGAGGTGAGGTCGAGTCGAGAAGTCGACTAGGTATTTCGTGCCTCAAGTTGGAAACCTTTCTTACTGGGCACGTGCACAGCACCTAGGTATTTTGAGTATCATGCGACAATCCACTGGAAACATGATTCCGGATGGAGGGTCGGAATAGGGTGGTTCAATTCTGGTAGGGCCTGTACTCCCCTCAGCGCTTCTGGCTCATATAATAACCTCCCGAGGAATGTGTCTGTATTCAAGCTGTGGTTGCAGGTTGTCTTTCTATTTTCTGCAGTCAAAATTATAAAAAAGAAATATATACTTGATCCGGGTTTTTCGAGAACTAGTTGTACTAGCGGCGCAACGCAACGCAACGCGGAAAGGAGGTAGCAATGTATTTTCATTTAAGTTTTGTTTAACCTGTCGAGTCCAGTCTCGTTTCTCTTCAAGAAGAGTGGGGCGTGGGCTCCTTTTCCGAACAGCGGTTGGTAATGGAGCCTACTAAGCTTGCTTCTCAGCGGTCATGATCATTTATAATGAACAGTTATTTATCTTAAGTTGATAAAAGATGTAACCGCCTTAAAAACTCCTCTACGTCCTAAATAAATAAGGGGTTGGTCGTTGAGAAGGGAAGAAAGAATCTCTTTGAGAGTTTTCTAGATTTTATAGCAGTGAGAACAGACAAGCTTTCAGTACGATCAGAAATAGAAAAAAATGAATTGACCTTACCAGGGTTAATGATTGGGTAGATACTGTTGATTATTCAAACACAGAGAACGAAACGCTCAAGGCAGACACAAAGATGAGGAGATCTAGGATTGCCGGATTCTAAAATCGCGTTTGTCTGCAGTAAACCGACAAGAGAGAGAAACGCGAGATTTTTTCACGCAGTTGTTATCGATATCCTTCTCGCTGCATGGTCAACCGAGTGTTCAGACCTGATTGAATATTTCACAGCTGGCACCTGCAGGCATGCTTTCGTTTCAAGGGGCGAGAATCTAAAGGCGAAAGATAGTTAATTAACAAAGAGTGCCTTTGCGAGGAAAATTTAATTATACTTTTACCTCTATATAATGGGTCGGCTAAATTTTTGGTGAAATATAACGCATCGAGCTGAGTAAGGGTAGACTTTTTTACACAATATCGTGATTTGTGATACTAGCGTCAAGGAAGAAGAGAGAAGAAGAAGAATGAGTTGGTTAATATACGCAAATTTTCTCGCGTGACCTTGCCAAGCAAAACTAAATTAAACGACTTGAAATTCGAAATGTGAAAGGCTTCCAGCAAATACTAACGACGGAAAGTCTTCTTCATTGGGGACACAAAAACGTGACTTTATTAAAATTCCTTCCGGAAGCAATGGTTCTTTAACTGGCCTTATTAGCTCAATATGATACAATCACAAAAAAAAGCTAAAATTAACTCAAGGTTGTTGCAAACCGAATTTGAGGAGCTCTGTATAAATAAATATTGCTGACATTTTCACAGAGCTTTCAGGTCTGACGCAAATAGTGTTTGCCTAAAACGACAATTCATTTGTCAAGTTTGCAACCGATATTTGCACAGTCTTTGCCGCCCATCTGTATACGAATAATTTCCAAAGAAAGCTTCGTTACAACATACTACTGGAGATCACAAAAAAAATTCTTGAGCACTTCGCAATAACTGAGAAATGTTGATCTCGAAACGGCATCTAACAAGCAAACTTTGGTATGCAAAGTTCGTGTGTTAATCTAATTGTACATATTCGACATTTTTCACGTGGGCTAAAGGAGATTTCGATACCATGAAAAACAGATTTAACCGTGCCTGTAGTCGTGAATAAACGACATGGTCTCTTGTTGAAAACGCAATGTGTATCGTTGGGCTTTTTTNTTGGCTCAATTTAGTTCGCCAAACTGTACCAAAAAGCAAGCCATAGGAAAAGAAAACTGGTAATTATTTCTGCTTAGTTTTAAATTAAAATTCAAAAGTGTTTTTGCAAATGACGGAAATACGATTTTTATCAACTTAATCTTACTACGTCTGCGATTTTTTATCTTACTACGTCTACGTCTGCTTATACGCCTGTGAAAACCAACCTTCAGCGACTCTCTTTGAAAGACCTACTTAATCAACATCGGTAGCACTCTCAGTGTGTTTTAGCTGGGTCTTTTTAAAAGGCCATCATAAGTTAATAAACCAAGGCTATCTAATGAACATGAACTCTAAAATCGAATTAAACGCCAGCGATCATTTCATTTGCTGTATTTCAAAAGAAGACCTGTGCGAGAAAAAAAATTAAACAAGATAAACAGTAAAATTTATTCAGAATTGACCAAAAAAGATCTATATAGTGGGCCAAATCTTGCCTTTTTTATTGATATTTATTTTTTTTACAGTATTTACATACTAGCAGGTGACTTACTGTATACTGCGAACTTGCGCACCGCATTTATAATTGCTTTCAAAGAAGTCACGTTTTGAAGCCGAAGTGTATGTGGATGTCTTGTTTAAATATTCATTTTCAGTTTCAGCGCCGCAATGTTTGATTAGTCAGCTTCCATCAGGAGTCTAACCGTAATCGTTTTTGTATCTTTTCACCGAGTCATTTACTTCCATCCCCACAGGAGCTTTGGCAGAAAGTCGTTAGCTTTTGAAGATTTACGGTTCTTTACGATTTTAAATTGGTCGTAAAGTCCGCCGGAACCGAATGATAAATGATACATTGGAAGCGAAATCCAACGCAAACGCCGACGCCAAACATGTGTGGATGAGGACCCACCGTAACAAACCATTGTGATCAGTTTGAACTTTTAAAAAGCGACTCAGTATGAACCGCTCAGGTAATGTAACATTCGAGAAGGATCAAACTTCTGGCACCGCAGCCGTCGTTGTGATACAAAGCGTTTTCCTTGCCATGGTGATGGCAGTTGGCGCAATCGCTAACAGTTTTATTTGCCGTTGTATACTCTCTCATCGTTCTTTGCGCACAATCACCAACTCGTTTATATTAAACCTGGCTGCTACGGATTTCTTGCTGTCGGTACTCTGTATGCCTTTCGCGCTTGTGTCAGCTATCACTGGAATATGGGTATTTGGCAGTGTTATGTGCGTCCTCACAGGTTTTCTGCTCTCCGTGCTCTGTATAACGTCTATTTTAACTTTGGCTCTGGTCGCGATCGATCGCTACCTGGCAATCTGCCGCCCTCTTAAATACTGTACACTAATAACGCAGCGAACAAGCCTGGCAATGATTCTGTACGTTTGGATACAAGCTGCAGTTTGCGCAATAATGCCGGTTCTTGGTTGGGGAGAAGGTTACGTTTTTGTAGCAGAGGAATCCATTTGCCGGCCTTCGTTTGGTAAACCTTCAGTGGACAATGGGTACACAATTTTTCTGTTTCTCACTTGCTTCGTTGCGCCCTTTTCGGTTATCGCTTTTACGTACGTTTCTATCTTAAGCACAGCGAGTAGGCAGTTTCGTCGAGTACACCGTCAGAAACGCAACCAGGTGGGAAACATGGAACAAGTGCAGCCCAGCAACTCGCAGTTCAACTGTGAAACCACCTTCGTTCGCACGCCTGAAAATACGGTTATCGCGGACGAAATAACCTCTGCTACAAACACCTCTCGCGCTAAGAAGCTTTACGCCCCGGGAGCGATCCGCAGCAAACGCCGACAAAAAGCGCGAGGGTTTAAAATGCTCTGGATCATTGTGGTGGTATTTCTGATCTGTTGGAGTCCTTATTTCGTTATGATTTTTTACAGTTCGCTAAGACAGCATAGTTTCCCGAAGGCAGTCAAAGTGCCAACGATGCTGTTAACTTTTCTGAACAGCGCTCTCAATCCCTTCTTGTATGGGTTTTTGAACGGCAAGTTCCGCGGTAGCATGCGGACGTTTCTCTGGCAAAACTTTACTCTCTGCAAGTGTGGGAAACAAAACGTTCAAGAATCACGAGTATATCACATAACTCACATTAATTAGAAAAAACTTTTGCTCTCTTTTACGTACAGAAAAGCAGGTTTTAGGGCTCGCAATGAACTTCTCCAACTGATGGTTTATTCTACGGGAAGCTTGGAAGCAACAAAAATATTCACTTTCGGTTTTTTATTGTGTGTCGTTTCCTATAATTGAGGAAGCAAAATGGATGGTTGTCTATGCTCAGAAAAACTGCGTTTTTAATTGATTTTTTTTCTAGGCAGTCATTCAACGTTTGCATTTGACCAACTTAATTAAAAAAAAACCAAACATACTTTTTTAGTCTTATTACAAACAAAGGCAAAAAATCAGACCCACCAATCTTTATGAATACAAATTGTCTAATTTCACTGAAAAATAAAGATCTTATCTGCGAGAAACCTTAAGGCTTTGTTTCATTGTGATTATTTATAAACATGACGCTGACCATAAGTCGTTTAGGACGCAGGTGAAAATAAAGGAAATACGACTTGAGTACAATTCATTCGTAGTAAGTTATCAGAGATCTGAGGTAGTCTGTCTCAGCGTGTGAACATGATCAATTGTTCTTTTCTAAAGCGAAGAAAGGGGTGGTGACTTCGATCCCGGACATTCCCTGCATGATAAATGAAGCGGTGATCGTTGTTAGGTCATGCCGGATAAAATGAGTTTAAAAGTCAACAAGCGATGAAATCGTTGCTTTCGTTTCGCTGCGCGATCTAGGTCTCTCTTATGGATTTCTTCAGATTTAAAACCGTTCAACTTTTTACCGATTCAACACGAGTTTTCGCTCGTTTGATATAATGAGCAGAATGATATTTTCAAATCTTGTGTACTCTTAGCGTAGTTTACCCAAGCGTGATGATGTTTGTTAAGAGTTGAAGAACAAAATCATTCTAATCTCTGTTTGATCTGGCGTTATGATCTGACGTTTATCTGTGCTTCAATTCATGACCATTATTTTGAAAAGCAAAGGAAGAAAAGCAGCGAGTTGATGGCCGGGGAGTTGTAAATAGCGAGCAAGTGACTATTTGCCCTTAACCATGTGTATTTGATAAATTTGTTTTCCTCTAACTGGATTTTGGCAGTTTTATTGAGTCGCTTAGAACTTTGAAATTTTAGCTTGAAGTTAATCTGTGGTTAGATGGCGAGCAACGTAAAAAATGGCGAATGAAAAATGTACAAATGAAAACTAATCTAGTGTCTGTAACAGGCGGATCATCGCTTTATATACACAACTAAAGCAGCTGTGAAAGTGAAGGTTCAGGTTTGAAAATTTGAAAATTCAGGTTTGCACGGGATTCAAACCCATGACCTCTGCGATACCGGTGCAGTGCTCTGTCAACTGCACTATCAAGCTAAGGAAAGTTCTGGTCTCGTTGTGAGTTCACAATATACCCGTAGATACTACCCGCAGTTCAATTTTCAGTTACGTTAAAACGTAATGAACTTATTTCAGAAGTTGCACCGTTCAGGATTGCCTAAAGAACCAAAAAAATAAGACATATCAGACTAAGAAAATTGTCTCACAATGCATTACAAGGCGACCAGACATAACATAAGCGTTACAACGCCGGAAATTAAAAATTGGGTGGTATAAAGAACGCAAGTGAACTCCTTGTCTTTTGAAAATCTTAATGTGTACTCTGAGCCCGATATTGTATTTATTATTATTTTTTTAAGGCACAGACAAAGTAATAACGATGTTGCTTCTAAATCAAGGCTATAAACCAAAACATACTCTACAGTTATATTTTTCATTAGTATTATCAACGTCATAAAATGGGTGAAAATATTAAAAACAAACATAAGGTTTTATGCGGGTGATTTGACGTCTTCAAAGTTGGTCAGAAAGTCGCTCCCGTCTTAATTAAATGAATGAAAATTATATAGAAGCTGAAGAAATATCACTTTCCCAGTTTTCCAAAACTTTGATGTGATGTCCTATTGTGGTCTGTTCGTGCGTGTGTTCTTTAAACATTTCAGGCGCCAGTTTCGAGAAGACTGATAATTTTTCTTTTTATCTCAAACCAGAAAGCTCTCCATTCAACATGGAGCCACCCCTCGAATTTTAATATTGCTGATATTGATCATCGTACAATGACAAACTGACATTCATAATCGATTCATGTTCCTTTACCGGTCTTTCACAAAAGAAAACCACCATAAAGTCCATGCGAGCAAACGATAAATCATTTACTTTTTAGAATCATTTGACATTTTCATTTCCTCGAGAGGTGAATCCAAGAGTTCTATGCGTCCGTCCAGCCTACATAACATCCGTTGTTATTTCCGCGAAGTTTTCCTGCCTTTTTTTCACCGAATAGCAGCGTTAATGAGATTATAAACTGTTGATGCAATAGCCCTTTTTACGATTAACTTTAGTTACATTACAATATGCAAGAAGTAGAAACTACAGAATTGGCTGAAATTGCCCCGCACACATGTTGGATTTCATGGCAAATGTTTATAATCGTGAGTAGGCCACATTTGCGACGTCATGCGTGAGTGACGTCATGGATAAGTGACGTCATTAGCTAGCGGGAGGACCAGGCCGACTGGCAGCTTCACACGTTATCAATATGTTTATCAAGCTAAGATAGCTTTAAAATTCTGCTTGACAGTATTTAAAAGCACGGTTTTATTATTTTTAGCCGTGAGGTTATCGGCGAGACTGACACAAAACGATTTATTTACAATTTCCAACTAAATCAATAAATGATAGTATTGGCTCGAGGTTTGCGAAATTAAAACACTGAAATTAAAAATGTCTAACAGAAATTAAAGAATGGTTTCGAATGCACTGAAGACGACTGCGCATCTCCTTTTAAAGAAATGTCGCCGGAGCAACTGAACAGTTTCCTTCTAAAGCTTTTTTGCTCGCCATTAAACGCGACGGAAATTTCGACAACAACAAGTCACATTCCTGAATTTGAACGTTCCGGGTAGAAACCTCCAGCAATACTTATGAAAACTGAACTGAACTAATATTTTCGATAGATCAACGAATCAACTTTTTTTCCGATGTGTTTACCGGGTTGTAAATTCGCTCAACTTGGAGTTCACCTTTTATTTCCCTGTTCAAGCACATTGCGCGCGCGAAAATACTTGCCAAAGACTTTCTGCAGTCTACTGAGTCAATATTTGCGAGTTATTTTGCTAGTGGTTTGGTATATAATTTAACAATTGTTTCCCTCGTTGTCGGCGGCTAGTTGTGGATATTTACCTCTGGAGGCTTTACGACTCGGGAAATATCCACCACGACTAGCCATCTCCGGATCCACTACGGGGGAATATTTGTATTATTGATCATTTTCCCATACTTTTCTAGAGACATACAGCTCAAGATGAGAGTTTCTAGAAACCCATCTCAACAATGGGTATTTGTATTGGCCTATTGCATTTCTGGGGAAAGTAACGGAAAACCCTTTGTTACCTTACAGGAAGGCTGCTCTCCTAGATCCAAACCCTTATCTTTCTATATACCATTTATGACATAGAAGCTAATCCTTTCATAGACCCTCTAATGCAAGAAAACGGTTCCCCTTCACACACATACAGCATGCATACGGTATCTCTTTTTTATAATCTTTTAGAAAATAGCCCAAAGAAAATACGCGCGCTGACTGGTTTAAAATCGTGTTTCAATAACTCGATAAGAACACAGAACTAGCACGAGCTTTTGACGTAATGATGGCGCGAGCAAAGAGAATTTACATTTTGATGATCAAAGTAAACAAGATAGTTTCTTTTTTTGGTCTCGGAATTTTCTAAAAGAAATACAAAACATGCTCTCCTTGTTTCTATCAAGTTTAGTATAAATATACTGGCATTCTCTCACGAATGCCGTTCTCTGATTGGCTACGTTACTCACTATCTATTCTGTGGTAGCCTAAATCTACTAGCGTTCTATCACGAATGCCGTTCACTGATTGGCTACGCTATTCACTATCCATTTAACAATTAGATTATTCGCTTTCGATTTCTTTGAGGTGATAGTTAATGAGGCCTAATCAACTATAACCTCAAGCGAATAATCTAATTGTTTTGGTAGAATTCTCACTGAATTTTCCTTCAAATAAAGATTCCAATTATTTCTGGTCTTAGTATTAAACTTCACGCTGTAGAGAATTCGCGAGGACTGAATTGTCAATTTGACATTTGCAGTTGCGTACACGCGCTTATCAGTTTCTATAAAAACTTTCGCGCGTTTTTAATTCAAGAAACAGTATAAATGCCCTTCTTTTTACTCTTCTTAGGAATTTTGTTTCATTTGTTTCTAAATGTTCTTGCAAAACTTCGGAGAAACGTGGAAACGTTGCATTTTTTTCGACCACACCAAGCCACTGAACACTACTGGCTGACAGTGTGCAATGGCTCAGCCAATCAGATTACAGCATTTGCATTAGTATACTAGTAGAATTTTACTAATCTGTGTTAGTGTAAATCTACTAACGTTCTATCATGAATGCGGTTGTCTGATTGGCTAGTCTAGTAAGTACCGTAGCAGTATGCCCTTGTTAACAAATGACGGACGCTTCTTGGGGGTTTTCGAAATGTCTGTGAAGAGGATTTAGATAAAGTTTTGAACGACTACTGAGTAGATTTATACTAAAATAATTAGATTATTCGCTCTCGATTTCTATGCGTGATAGTCGACGAGGACGCCGGGCGAATTCTTCAGTATAAATCTACTAGTAGTTCAAAACTTTCTCTAAATCCTCTTTACAGACTCTTCGAAAACGCCGCCAGTTCGTTAACAAGCGCACACTGCTACGCTACTCACTATGTACAACAGAATGGATAGAGACTAGCGTCGCCAATCAGCGAACGGCATTCGTGATAGAACGCTAGCAAATTTCCACTAACACTCGATAGAAACACGGAAATTTTTTTCTATTTCTTAAAAATTGTACATACATTTTACTGGTGGGGGTTTCGTTAGAATGGCGACGCAGAGCTTTTGGTCACCTCCATTTCCTGTTTTGTAAGTTTAATCGCAATTTGTAATAGCATAGTTAGTAGTAAGTAACATGAAGTAAATGTAATAAATCTAAAATATTTTGATAGGACCTTTTAAACGCCTAAAGAGCAGTTAATCTATCCTTCACAATACTTCAGCTTCCCCGTTACATAACCCCAGACTGAAAAAAATACTCCATGATTCTGGCGGCGTCTCCCTGTATATTCTATTTTAGGACTAATAGGGACTCCCCCGGTCAAATTCGTGCACAAATAACTTGATAGGTAAGATGAAGAAGCCTTTGAGGCAGATTGTAAAGTGGGAGCTGTTTAAATAGCATTTGACAACTGATAAGAATAAATTTTGAAAAACTGTGAGAACGGCGAGAATTAAACAGGTACAGTATTCAGGCAGTTCTTCCATTTTGTATCTACTTAGTAAATCAAGTTCAGGTTTTTCAAGCACACAGTGAGGACGTTCGGGCCTAAAATCTTTACCCGGTCGGACTTGTAAAAATTTTTGCCAGAGACTAACAACTCATCTCAGAAAAGCAGAAAACCGCAAACTTTTGTTTTTTGTTGTTGTTGTTTTTTTGGTAGGAGGGGTTGCGTTGTTTCTAAAACCTTTAGGGACGGAATATCTTTTTGAAAGGGGTTGTTGGACAATTTTCTGGGGCATGAATTTTTCTCATCTTCCGGTTGTGCATGACTCTTTTTTCGGTGGGCAACAGCTTGCACAGAAACTGCTAAAAAACGGCTAAAAATTATACCCTTTGGGGCAACACATACCTTTATAGCCCATAGAAGGGAGTATCCCGCCGGGCGTGTGACAAATTACAAAATTGTAACCTCCCAAATGAATCATCACATGATCTGGATTGGGTGGCCACAAGGATGTAAACACGCCAGCCAAATGCGTATTTTGTTTATCGCGACATCCTCTTATTTGCCTTCAGCGAAAAGTAAGAATGACTAGACTGATTTCATCACAAATAGTTCTATTTAGCAATATTTTCCAACTGATATTTTTTCTTTCACTCAGATTTAGATCTTCAGAAGGATACTTAAAGTCAGTAAAGATATGAAAAAGCATTGCAGTTACGTACGCTTGAACGTACGGGATTCAAACCCATGACCTCTGCGACGTCACCTGGGTCCACCTGGCCTGCGTTTCATGTTCATGTGGTTTGCGTGACCTCGACGGTCTTGCAACTATATAAGGCTATATCAGTAAGAATATGGGACCTCACGGAGACTGCATGGTTTGGAAACTATAAAACCCCATGCTGAACAATTTCGCCCACGATGCTTTTCAAGATGACAATACCCCGGGGAAGACCAATGCTGGGAGTGCAATACACACTGCAAGTCTAAAGACATGTAATGCAGTGTCGCCCTAACCACAAAATGAAAGCTAACCGCAAGCAAACCCAAGTAATCCCAAGGACGAGTTTGCTTGCAAGGCGACGACGCCATCTTTGATGCAAAAAAAAAAAAGGATTTCGTCAAGGGTTAAGCCAAGGCCGAAAGGGACTTTGGTAGGAGAGAGTTGGTAAAATTTCCTATCATCCGGATGCGGATACATTGAATCAGCTTACATGAGGTGTTAAACTAACCAAACTTTGCATGGTGCCGCTGATGAGTTTAAAATGTGTTAAAAAAAAATTCTGGATTAGGAACTTGTCGGCATTTTTAATTAAGATACTGTAAAGTTTTTTGGATTAGCAATGGATTTGAATCACATATATCAATTTCCTTTGCAAAAAAAGAGGCCAAGATATTTTTTTTTAATTACATTTCCTTTCTCATTCTTTACCAAGTGGACAAAATGGTGTTATACTCTATCTCGGAAATGAGACATGACGTCAATGAACAGACTGGGAAATTTGAACCTCCCTTCTCCAAAATCCTTGTTATCTTTGTTCAAATACGACTTTTTGTGTTTGAAGTACTCTTGGGCTTCCTAGATTTAAATTTGCCAAGAAGGAAATTGAAATCATGATTAGATGGCTTTGTTCAAATCGCGGGCTGTTCTGCACACTGTGTACACGACATCATTTTTTTTTTTTTTTTTTTAAAAAAAGAAAAAAGAGCTGAGTTGTCTTCTAGTCGGAGATTGATTATGGCCTGACGACTAGAATTACAAAAATTTACTGAGCTTACGACAAATATACTTGCATTGNTTTTTTTTTTTTTTTTTTTGTCTTTACACGAGTATGCTGTTAGCGGCATTATTCAATTGCCTCTGTTCGGAATCCGATTGTTACTAAGGAAAGATCTTATTGGCCAACCTAGATGGACAAATTATTCTTCCTGCTAGCTTCCTTTCAAGTCATAAATAATAAAATTGAATCAGCGCATGCAAATGAGAGGAATTTTGTCATGTCACGTGTGACATATCTTCCTTAGTTCACCATCAAATTGAAACAACTACAAGTTTTTAGCCTTAATTTCACTGACCTTATAAGCGATGGCCATGAACGAGGAGAAAATACCTCTGGTGCAGGTGACTATTTCGCTTTAACGCTTTCTTAAGCGAGTCTCAATATGCCGTGAATAATGGTATTGAGAATTTTTTATCCTGATTTAGTTATATCAGGCAGATGTGTTTGGCTTTGAATGCGTCGCCGGATATTTGTGATTCAAGTCACAAATCCTTGTCTATTTCAACAATTATACTGCTGGGTTAAGCATCGAACTTATCCGCCGCAAATCATTTTCTTAGTCTGTGTAGTTCGGGTGGACAAAAATAAGCCAAGGATCACAGCGATTGTGTGTCAATGTTCGCCGCATACTTATAATGGAGAGCTCGGGGGACAGTTTCAAATTGAAAATTGAATTAGCAAGTTAATTGTTTTATTCTAACTGGTTCCCAATTACTTTGGAGAAAATGTTACAGGTTTTAATTTTTCTTGGATAAATGGCAGTACAACTTTATTATTCGGAAAAATTCGACGTGTTTTTAAGCATACCATATTTGATGCCTACTTTGTTTTCACCTGCATACTTCGGGAAAGATTCCTCATTAAAATATCGGCATTTTCCAAAAATATGTACGTTGTTTGATTTTGTTTATAAAATATTCAAAGGTTTTAAACTTATATAAGAGGCCGAAGGTAGGAGCGGCGAACTTTTCATCAGTCCTGACCTAAACGCTGCAAGCTGGATAGATCCATTCGACCTGACAAGATTTTAGAATCACCTTTGTCAGTTGAGTCAAATCAAAGTGAACTAAATAGGAGAAAAAAGTTATCCATCACAGTTAAAGCATGGGTTATCTGGACTGATCGAGGATTCCCAGAGCTTCAGACGATCTTCAGTGGTAATGTTTGACTGTACCGTCCAGTCAGGTCGCGACTCGGTCGTTTCAGATATAATCAAACGTAGAACTTATCCGTTCTCTTACCACCGGCAAACGCAAAACAACTCCATATTCGACCTCTGAACGAAAATGTTTTGTTGAAAATAATACACCTGCAAATCATGCCCTTATTCGTTACAATTGTAGCTGTACTCATGAAAGAAGGAAAGCTGGAGAAGTATTTTGGTTAATGTCGTTACTTAGGCCTCTTCATGTGAGCCCGGTAACCGGGCCGGGAAGAATGTTGTCGTCTTTTCATATGAGAAATTTTAGCCCGGTCGACCGGGATGAAATCCAAGAAACAAACCAAAATGGTGGAACATAAAACTTGTATCGTTCGGGGCTGTCGTAGCTTTGTGGACTCTTGCAACTTTACTAATAAAGCTAATTCGCATACTCCTAAAGTGGAAAAAATTACGCCATTTTGGCCGCCATGTTGCGAAAGCGAAGCTATTTTGTCTAAAAAGTTTCGTCCCGGTCACCCAGGCTGGATTGTTCATATGGGAAAATTATCTTCCCGGTTACCGAGATCTCGGTCGCAAAAACCGAGATCTCGGTAACCAGGCCAGCCCGACTTCTCATATGAACACATCGAAATGTTTACGAAGGAAAGAGTGGCGAGGCGAGATCTCGGAAACCGAGCCATCCCGGTTGACCGGGCTCATATGAAGAGGCCCTTAGATACACAAAATAGTCGAATTCACGGTGTATCAAGCCACCAAGATCGGCCAATATGAGTAGTGAGTGACAGTTTTCTGTATGTTATTGAAAAGCCTGAGGCCTTATTTGACATCTAGTCACAAAAAAGATAGGTATTGGTATTGCTACTGAAAAGCATAATAACATTTCTGTTTGCTCACGGTGAGACGAGTAAAAGGTCGGATGAAATTTGTCGAAATTGCGACATGACGAGGTTTAAATTTAGCCTTGTTCGCACTAGTGACACAACGACGGCATTAAGACAAGAAGGGCGTTATGTCGTTATGTTTACAGTGTGAACATCCTGACATAATGACATTATAGCAACATAACAGCATCAACATAACGACCTGAAGGGGGTAAAAAATTGATATTTTCGTTATGTCTTTATGTCGATCTTCGCATCACTAATAACATAAGCGATTATGTCGTTGTGTCGGTGTGAACTGGAAGGACCTTTGGAAATTGCGACATGACGATGTTAAAACTTGGGCGGGAGGCAAGCATTGCCTCTATATCCATAAAAAGTAATATAAACCGTCATCATCAGAGCTGCGTCCATGGCAATGTCATGGGCTCCTAATCTGGGGAAATGAAGAGCTGGGACTTATGAGATCGGAGGGCTTTTTCCTTGTGAGATTTCAGCGGAGAAGGGTAGAGGTTTGGGCTGATTGTTGAAGTGAGGTCAGTGAGTGTGACCATATTGTAATACGCCAGTATCGTATATATGTTGCATGGCTCACTGCTTTTACATAATGTCCACTGGCCTCAAATAGAGTGGAATAATTATCATGAGGTTTACAGAACTTTGTTATGATAATAATACGCTCATTGTAATAATTATAAAGTATAGCATCGCCTACAGCACTCACAAAAGCATTTTTAGGTAAGATTGATCTCAGAGTATAGATCTAGAAAAACTGATATAACTTATGCGCGGCCGGTGACGGTAAATCGTTATTTCAAGGTAAATTCACGAACTGAATTTCTGAGAATGAACAGCGAATGGGATATGTATAAATCGTGAACCATAACATCAACATTGCATAATCAAATCATCGTTTCAACACGTATGACAATTTCTCTCTTTCATGATCAGCATCAAGCAGAACCAAGTGACGAGCTAGCCATTGGTCAAGACGTTCATACCATGGCATCCAGCAAGACGGAATCGAGGGAAGAAAATGAGAGTTTTCTTCTCGCTGGCCAAGAAGATGAAAATAAAAGTTACAGCTCTACAGCAAGCGGAGCGAGTGGCGCCAATACTTCAGAATCTACCGCGGAGAAAAGGCAACAACTCGACAACACAACAACGTAAGTTTACATGAACATTTACATTTTTTTACTGCTCGAGTAACTGCGATCATTAGCTAGGAAAACATGCTTGCTGTACCAACCGAAATTCAAAATCTTTCAGTGTGGTCGACATTTTGTTGATTGAATTCGAGGCACCGCATATAATGCTATTGTCTTTGTTTTGTTTTGATGTTGTTTTGTTTTAAAGTAACCGAGCTCAGCCGGTTCTCTCTCCGACCCAAACATGCAAAAGATAAGTGCCTATTTCAACCTTTAAACTGAAAATCGAGCCTTTTTTTATGTAGGATGGCTGAGGCCTAGCCTGCGAACGCAGACGTATTTCCAGCTGTCGCTTGTCTCCGCTGAAAATAACGTCTACGAACCCGAGCCAGGAAACGATTCTGTGACGTAGGAATTCTAAGCCAATCACAGTTTAGCTCAAGTAGCCCCAGAACTACTGCGCGAGGTATTCGCTGCGAGGAGCACTCGAGTTTCATTCTATCATGGAATCTGATTTGCCAAGGAGAAACAAAAGTCATTACGTCACAGAAATCGCTTCCTGGCTCGGGTTCGCAGACGTCATTTTCGGCGGAGACAAGCGACAGCCGGAAATACGTCTGCGTTCGCAGGCTAGCTGAGGCCGAGATAAGCTAAACTTTTATTGAGAACATGCAAACGTCAACATACTCGAGCTGGCAAAGATCACATTTATCATTTATACTTTCTACTCTCGTTTTTGCATCGATCTCTACACTCAGCCTCTGTGGCCTCGTTGTGTACCTACTTATTTATAAAGAGTAAAACAAAATCTAGCATTTGAAATACCTCAGTTATTAAGCAGCTCAGGGGAGCTCAAAATGCTTGAATGCACGTTTGTCTATTTCGCACCCTTCCCGCAGAGAGTTAGCCCTCTTCACTATGGTGCTCGTAAGTTAGTCAAAACGAATCGAAGCCGACTGTGAAAGGGAGCTAAAGGGGTATTTGTATTCATTGTCAGAGGATATCGCCGGAAGTGTGTACCACTTTCTCGTCCGTTGTAAATTATGTTACCTACCAAATATTTTTAAATATATTATATTTAATAGCTGAGAATTTCCAGGAAAATTCAGATGATAATGTTCATTAATGCTCTTACCCGTTGTCTCCATATATAGCAATCTGCAGACATTGATGCATCTTTGGCGGGGAAACGTTGGTACGGGTATGCTGGGATTACCTGAGGCCATGATGCATGCCGGGATTGTGGTAAGCTACTTAACGATCATGCCCCAGTTGTTCGAAGCCTGGATAACGGTATCCACCGGATATATCGTTATCCCGTGGATAAGTGTTCACAAAACAAACCACGCTATCCATCACGGCACGAAAAATTGGATTTACTCTAAATTTGATCCTGATCAAAGTCGAAGTCAAATATGATCATAGCTTTGATCCAAACTTTGACGCGCGTCAAACGTATGTCAAAAATGTCATGGCTTTGCCGATACATTTGATCCATGACAAAGAGGAGGGCAAATGTGATCTTAACTTTGACTCCACCTTTGACCCACGTAAAANNGTAAAGGCGATTTTTCGTGCCGTGCATTGGATAGTGATTTATCCGTTAGATAGCGTTATCCACCCTTTGAACCACTGGCGCCAGGCGTTTACAAAGAAACTGTCCTGCAGTGGCATTTCGAGCGATAGTCCTTCGAGGAAGCATAGGGTTCTCTAAAGAGCTATCATTCGAAATATCAGCTTTCCAAATTTGCTATAACTATCAACTAACAACTAGTTCTCTTTTTCAAAAATTTTCAATGAGTGAACTTAACTTGTTCTGTTTGATCTTCAAACAAGATTTGAAGAAATGGGCGTAGAGCTGAAACAAACTGACTGCTAAGGAGCTAAAGAAACAGAACACCTCAGAATTCTCCGAAAGGGTGTCGAGAATTAAACAAAACAGCTTTCAGTGTCAAGTAACAGCGACAAGGTTACTATGGCGTATAGAGTACTATAAATATCTGCAAAACACTTTGGACAAAATTCCTGCGAAGTTTTTGGGAAATTTCTGTTAAAAAAAGCATCAAGCCTGATTCTTAAACAGGTTCAAACACCTTTACATTAGATAATCTTTTACCAACTAAGCTATGCATCCAGTGTTGATTTGAGCACCAGTACACTTACAGGTTTTCTTTCATGTATACATATTGCTTAAAAAAGAACACATAACAGAGTTCAGTTTATGTTTAGTCTCATTCATTCGTGTGATCAATATGTTTTTTTAGATGGGTCCCCTGGCGCTGTTGCTAGTTGCAGCTATTACGATTCACTGTATGCATCTGTTGGTGCAATGCAGTAACATCCTATGTCAAAGGTGAGAGAGCGTTACAAAGCACACCTTTACAACAACTTAGGTATGATATGTGGTGACTCTATCCATTCCAAGCCCCTGCATTACCCTCCTGGTATTGTCGGAAATTTGTAATGTTTTGAAAAAAAAAGTGTTGAAAATGTCTCACAGTGGGGCTAAAACATTTGCGCAAATCTTCGCGGTGAAGTTTGGGCCGGGAAGACTGCAAATGTCCGACCCATGGGACAAGGTCAGAAATCTATTTTTTGATTGATGAAGGAAGCAATTGTTCACAAATAAATACTTGTAGGCATGAATTTTGGAAGCATAGCTGTCAAGGCCTCTTTCCGCCATCCTGGGTTTGTATTCTAAAGTTTGCACATGAGGGGGCGAGAGCTGAAAAGTGCTGGACTCCAACGAGGTTCATCAACTTAGCTCAAGAAATTAATTTACAAATAAACAACTATCAAATGACGTACTTATTTTAAAAACTAAAAGACAAACTTGGCTTTGATAATGCCTCACTCCCGGGCCGACCCGTTATAGCAAATACCTTTAGGCCTACCCTGGAGCAGAAAAATTTGTCAAATGCCCGACAAATGTTCGGGGGTGAAAATGTGCCCAGTGCTCCAGAGAACCAGCGCTTGCCTTTGGTTTCCTTAGGCCTTGGGTGGGATGGCAGGCTACCCTATGGTCTAATTAATTCCCCGGTACCCATTTATACTCCTGAGAAAAGAGAGGCGCTGTGAGAATAAAGTTTCTTTTCTAACAACACAACACACGGACCTACCCAAGGCTGGAATCCCTTAACGCTCGATCTGAAGTCCTGCGCACTAGCCAAGAGGCCACCGCGCCTCCACGTTTCTGATTTCTAAGCAGTTCCTTTTCTTACTTGATTTTTGTTTATTTAAGAACTGGAGAGATTGCTATGGGTTATGGAGAAGTTGCCGAGGAGTCCATTAGACGTTACTATCCCAAGAGGGCACACATTGGAAGGTAATAATGGAGGACAATGACCTCAATAAAGGGGGTTTAAACTACTCCTCTTGAAAGTGAAACTTTGAGTGACAAAGAGGGCCTGGCCATGTGTTCGGAACAATTGAGAACTGAAGGTTGGGTCAGCTGAGTCATCAATTTATTGCAGCTTGCAA